CGGCAAAAGAAAGCCAGTATCTGACCTTCTAAGCTGAAAATCAACAGCGAATTCGTATTCTCTGTCAGCATTTTCTTGGTTTAAATGGGTCGCACAGATGGGCGTCCACTCCCCGCATCGGCCAAATGACCGGTTGAGACAGCGGACTGATGCTCAGAGTGAGAAAAGAGAGTCAGATCGATTTTCTTTACGCATATTCCTCACCATAAGTAATCTGACGTGCTCGAGTCTACCATGCTGCAGTAGAAGCTGTGATTCGGAGGGCTGTCAACCGACAGATTAAGTGCAGGTCCCAAGAATAGCAGGAAGGGATAAAAGATGCAATGGAGGGTGAACCTGTTGTGACCAAACGGTGTAAGTGTCCCTGTCTGTGAGCTACAATTGTCAAGTCAAATCCCAGATTGAGGGGAGAAGACAGAAGGCACCAGAATAAGGAGTTCATTGTGCACAGAACTCGGAGTTGTCCTCGCAGGCGGCAGTGGCCATTGACTGCGTCTACTCATGCCTGTGAGTCCCTGAGATAGTGGTGGCAGCTGCTTTTGTAGGCTCGTGGGCCAGGCTCAAGTGGTGCCCAGTCAGTGTGTGCTGCATTTGTCGAGAGGTGGTGTCCCAGTGGCTTAGGCTGTGGTTGCAGGGGGACTTGCGTTCAAGTGGCGCATGGCTAGCCTCGACGTTGTGAGAATGCAATTGTATCCGAGCTGAAGTCGGTAAGTGACTTCAGGTCAGAGCGTCTGAGACGGCTCGCTGTAAGGGGTGAATGAACTTGAAACAGCGAGGTCTTGATCAATGACGCCGGACCGCTTATGATGGCTGCCTGCTACAAGCCTCTTCGACCCCGGCTGCCCAAACTTGGGACTTGTTATTAGCACGGAGAAGACGGTAGTCATGCATCGATTGGCAACACAAAGAAGTGGTTCAAGCAATATCAGCCACTATGGTCACGCTCAGTGGTCCTGATCTTAACTTACCCATGGGATGTGATGGATGCGAAGAATTAAATATACTAGAACCATGCTTTATTTTAGTAAAAAAATTAAAGGGAAAGTGTTCACTGAACACTTAAAACAGTAGTGGATGTCATCACTAGGGGTGAACGTGCCATCAGACCCGTTCCTCAGCGGAGTACTAACAATCGCCCAAGCAAAGTGCAGGATTTGTTTTCGCTTTCTCTGATAACCTACATCCATACTCAACAAAAACCTGGCTTAATTCAGTCTCCTCGTTTTCTCCTTTTAAACGGTAGTTTCTCACCCGAGAATCCCTGCGACAAGCGCATTTCATATTATCCAAGGTTTTTTAAGTACAGATAATCCAAACGGTAATTGAACTCTACGCAAGGGCCTCCCTCTCTGTTTACCTCCATACCACTGGATTTAGCAAGACAATGTGCAGAAGAACGTCTACAGTACTACGGCATGGATATCCCTGCATCTGCTTTGTTAGAACTCTTAGAACTTTGTCTAGAAACGAAATTTTCATTTGCACAGGAATACTATCAACAGCTGAAGGGGGCCCCCCATGGGATCACCCACCTCGGGTTTTCTCGCAGAAGTCACAATGCATAAATTAGGGGCTACTGCCTTACCACTAGTTAACCCCAAATTATAGGTACGATATGTTGATGACACGTTTACCATTGTTAAAAGTGATCAACTGGAAATACTCCACAATATAGGTAACTCGACACTTCTACGAATCACATTCACACTCAAGAAAGAAGCTGACAACAAACTCCCGTTTCTTGATGTCCTCGTACAGAGGAAGCCTGACGGGACATTCCACATTTCGGTGTACCGCAAGGAAACCTACGCGGAAATTTTTTACATCACGAGAGCAATCACCCAATCTCTCCCAAACGTAGTGCCGTGAACAGCCTCCTTAAGCGAGTAAGAACTCACTGCTATGACAACGAAACCTATCAAACAGAAGTGAATTATTTGTTCAAACTGTTCTCCCAGAATGGGTATCCTAGATATTTTGTAGACCGATGCATGAGACGACAGGAGTTAAAAGGAAAAGTCAAGGAACTTGATTGTCCCGATCAGGCGCCCAAACCAAAAAATGGCGAACACTCCCGTACGTCAAGAATGTGTCCGACCTAGCTGAAAGGCACCTAAAGAAGCACCAAATACATGTGACGCACAAGCCGACGACTACACTTCGTAACCAGCTTGTACACCCTGAGGATGGGGTGACTATTTAGATAAGAAGGATGTCGTCTATAAGATACCATGCAACACCTTTAATGCGGTTAACTGAGATCAAACTGGGAAATCGGCCTTTACGCGAACATCAACTGGCCGTAAAAAGGCGATAACACTTGCCCCAAAATGCCATGCATACGCTGGAAACTGGACATAAATTCTCCTGGGACAGGACTCGCATCGTAGGAGTCTTCTCATCTAAGTAGGACCGCGAATTTTTAGAGGCCATCCGTTCTGATAACTCATACATTAACCGACATGTAGAATTGGATGCGGTGTACAACATTTTCGAGGAGAAGTGGAAAAGACTTTGGCCAATCGGAACATTACGCCAGCAGGAGTGACAGGGCAAAATTAATTTTTTTAGGTATGTTTAAATGTTGACTGCTATGCGCACTTCACGTCTAAGAACGACTTGGGGAACCAAAGTCGAAAATCTACAATTAAACTTGTTCATCTTTCCCAAAGAACTTATATCTTTCAAATAAATACTGTCTACTCTGATAGCAAATGCATGCTGGTGTTCGACAGACTATTAGGCATTCTATCAATTATCAGTCTATTGCATATACTTTCTGCGCTTACAGATTTTCTGAATTATCATTCATTAATAGTGGCCTCATGAGAGTTGGAGGAAGCATGTTTTTGAGCATACTTTTTAAAGAGTATATTTGAATTAATAAGGCCGTCTAAAATGAGTGCGGAAAATGCATACTTCTCTTAAGTACTCGTTTTTGCCAGGTGTCGCTCGTACAAAGGATCTAGAGATGTACGCTCAGAAGCCAACGTCCTGGCGAGACGGGAATACCATAGGATTACACCGTATGATAATCACCATCACCCCACCTAGGTAATCCTTCCTAATCGAAAGCGCATTTGAGAATTACATGAGATCGGCCACTTACTATACGAAAGAAATCCATGAAAAACCAAAACTCTCCGTACCTTCATTGTAACCCGCCGAGGCCAAGCGAGTGTCTACTACCGGCCTGACGGCTACTTACGCTATGAATGGGGGCGGCTCTATATGAATGAACACAGACAAACAGTCAAGTTTAGGGCGGTGAGTTGGGATCCTTATCCATCTGCTTCTTAGTCACTCGCTCTTCGAGTGCGGAACGGGGGGGGGGCACGATGTTTACGAGAGCCTCACGCGGTGTTAGTCCTAGTATCTTCATTTCTGCACGCAAACTGCAAGTCGATGCAAACCTTTCTGGTCTACATTACCACCACTAATATTATAGGATCGAATTTTCGTTTACGGTTAATGCCGGAGGAAGCACAAAGCCGGAAAAAGCGATCGATTTCAGAGGGTTAAAAGCCAAAGGGGCGACAGTGAAATACTAGGGGAGAGCTTCAAAAGGATAGTTCGACTGCCGTGCCCGACGATGTCCACCTTGTGCTCCACAGTGAGGTGAAGCAGGAACAATGACTTGCACTTGAATTAGCTTATATTGAGAGCAGACTTTCGCAGCACCTACCGCACTCTCTCCTCCTTCCCATTCGGGCCCGGCATCAAGACATAGCCAAGAAGGCCGGAGGTGAGGGAGGGCGCGGGTGGCTGGCGCGACTAGAGTTGCACCTAGGCGTGCCGCCACATCCGGCTCGGATCCCAAAGAGCAGCCGCGCTCACGACACAGTCAGAGCCCAGGCGCATCTACCGACAGGAAACCAGGTGTTATAAAACCGCCAGCACACTCCAGGCTTCGAGGGCCATGGCTTGTTGATCCTGGCATGGTAGACGCTTACTACCCTTAAAACCGGCGAACACCAAGTACAGACGCTGATACTGAGTACTACGCACCACCGTCTTTCAAGTAGTTGAAACCAGCGTCCCCACTTCCACCCAGCCAAATGAGCGGTTTACTCATAATTCACACACCAGTAGGGTCGGATTTTGCATCTAACAACCTTGCTTTCAATTCCATCTAGACCTGACCTTAGCAATTCGAGTTCTACAACACAGCCAGCTGGAGGCAAGGAGGCCTTGAGTACACCGTCACTGTTTTGGGGAACATGTAACCCCGTAATGGTCTGCTGATCCAATTTGTGCGTTTGCAATCAGATCCGGCAGACGTACCTCAAACACCTATGCAGTAACTCTAACAGAAGTAACGTAGAGTATGGGCATCACTTGCATTGTGACAAGAGAAATGTAATGCTCATTCTTAGGGGGCTGTGATCAGTCGACTGATTCCCTCGAACATCTTAAACTGTTAGACGGAGAAATTTTTACAAATGCAGGAGGCTAAACGGTAACGATAGGGTGTAGGACCCCATGTAGATAGCAACTCCAAAAATATACCCTAAAATCCAGTGTGACTGTAAACACCACTTATCATTCACCGTTCCCATTGATTGAAGTCTCCTTGCCTTCTTGACTAAATGTAAACTCACCCATGGCACTTTATTCGAAGTCCGTTATTTTTTTGAAAATTGCTTCTTGTTCAGTTTTTAAATGAACAAGAAAGGGAAAAGGGAAGTACGGACAAGAGTATTTATTCTCCTCGAAGTAATACAACCAGAGTTGTCCTAGCGTGTGGCCAGGGTGGCCAGGCCAAAAACGCCACCTGCACGTCCGAATTAACCGAATTTGTTTGAAACCCTCCGTTCACCTCAATCAGTGCTGCCATTTAGGCGTAACCAAACGCAGTCAAAGGCACATCTACAGAACCCCGTCCGCGTAGAAGGGAGTCGACAACGGGTGGGCCAATTCTTCAACAGAAACCTGGGGAGGGGGGGGGGGGTGAGCGTGAACCAACGAACCTCATTGAGGATCCATATTCGGCAAAAGTTTCATCCCATGTGAAAAGTATTCTGAAAGACCACCAGCTGTAGTAAGAGGATAAGAAGGCAAATCTAAGTCTTACGAATAAACCGTCCTCAAACACTGAGAATACGGGAGTACAAATAGCGGGAGTCGATTGGGACAAACTGTCCCTACCGTTGTCCATGGTGAACTGGGCAGGCAAGTCCGGCTGTAAGATAAAAATCACGTTGGTAAAGGCAACTGGTGGGGGAGGGGGGGGGGAATTCCAAGTGGCGTAAACGTTCGAACCTCACCTGTGAGAGGCCTTGGGAGGGGAACCAGTTCCGCGTCAACAGATCCCAGTGACTGTCTGAAGGCCAAAAGAGAGGACACTTTCATGTATCTCATGTGAGCAAGTCTACGAACGAGATCGGTTAATAAGCGCTGAGATACCAGGATGAGCGATTACTCGAATTTATGATCAAGAATTCATTAGTTCAGTTGGTAAAATTGAAATATAACCCTCCCCCACCACGTGCTGAAATCCATGGTTACATGGTTGTCACTTGGTTTTGCTGCGTATACGTCGACAGTATGTTCACCACACTCACACACACTGAAGTGGTTTAGTTGGCGTTTAGCTACCTATCCTGAGTGCGATATATTGGAAAGTATGCAGCGCTTGCCATAGCGTCGCAGACAACGAAACTGTGATAACTTTAAACAGCAACATTATGGGAGTTTATTTCTATTAACATGGCGCAATATCAAATCATAGTACGGGCAAAGATCACTACTCATAAGACTCATAACTTAGTAAGTAGTGCACATATTAGGAATGTGAGCGTTAATATAGGATGGCATTACTGGAGGTTGGTTCTGTCGGTACCGTCCTCGCGGGCATTACAAACGGCATTCAGCAGTGATGTTATAATCCTGTGGGAGTTGCCGCTCTGAAGGGATACAGTACGATCTGGAGGTTGACCTAAAGAAAAGTTTGGCTTTATTTCGGTCTGATCATTCATTTGATACTTATGTGACAATTTAGGCAGGTTTAAGTTCAACACAGGTTTGTTTGTGACGTAACATTTGCCAAGAAACCCGGACAAAAAGTGTCCCTTTGCAAGCGAGTTGTTTTTATTCTAATGGAACCGCAAGGCCATCTGCGACAGTTGGTGACTGACTCCAACACGAGGTATAAATACCCCGGGGAATAGCGCTGGATTTCATATAAATTCGATCGTACAGAGGAAGACTCACGTAGCATCGAACTCGCTCTTCCTCTTCCCACATGCATTGTGTTCCATAGACAAGACTAAGTCATGACCACTTGAAAAGGGCTTGAGCACAGTGGCTCCCGGAGGAGCCTGGTAGCCCAGGTGGTTAGGGCGTTAGCTGTATTCAATATCAGTTTATTAAGGGCAATATAGGCGAGCGCCTTTGAACTCCCTATCGGTTACAATTCGTCAAATAAAAACATTGATAAGTGGGAAGGTGAAAAAGGGATTTTGTACATAATCGCGGACAGCAGAGAGGCAGTCGAAAAACGTTATCAATAACAGCTACTTACTAATTACAACTAGTATACACACGTATAATTCTTCAAGCCTTGGCCTTGCTGACATGCATTAAAATCCCACAGAAGCCGTCGAGTTTTCACTACTGGATATTCAGTCAAATTCTTTAGATCTGTCAAAACGCGTACTAAGAGTGAATCCTTGCTACTGAAAGATGTTATGCAGTTTGGGTTTGTTTGCTACTCAGGGCCAAACGAATGCATCTAAAGTCTTCAACCACGCGCGCCACAAAGGGCTGGTCTCTCACCACTGACTGAAGCAGGCTTCGCATACCTTCCCTAGCATTGCAGAGGCACGTCGGCCAGCCTTGTCAGGCCTCAAACGAAATCTAAGCTGTCAAATGCGGTGTCTGCACTCCTTTTGTAAACTACACGAGTGACACTTGGGACAAGTAAAGCCCAGAGTCGGGTCCAGGAAGCAGGGGGATGCCTTCGACAAGGAAATGTCTTCCTTTATCTGTGTTGACCTGCTGACATGCCTAGACCGAAGCCAACGTCAGCACAGACGAGTGTGTTAAGGCTTGTGTTGCCCAGTGCTGACAAAAGTGCACCTGTGTAAGTACCGGCTTCTCGAATACGCACAGATGTCATCTAAGAATCTCACCTTTTAGCCGGGGAAAGGATTGAGCCTCGTAGAGCGAGAGTCGGATCAAGGCCTGTCGTAGGTGTTTAACCCAGGTTGCAGATGAAAAGGCCTGTCTGTGAGGATAAAGGAAAAAGTGCGCATTCATTGGAGGAAGCAGTTGGTGCAGCTGAAGTACACCAGAACATAAGGGCGATGGATTGAATGTTTACGAGGGGTCAGTTGAGTATTTCAGGCAGATTGAGAGGCGGGCTGCGGTATAGTCCTAATTCAGGGGGCTGAATTAACATCACAGTAGAATAAGTTGAACGGAATGTTCACAATGGCTGGGCAGAGGATAATGCAAACCTATACCACAACACGCACGTGTGTCAATAACCGAAGATTCGAACGGCAACTATCCGCATCTACCGTTTACCTCGGTGACAATGGGTGTTAGAAAAATAAGTACCAAACAACTAATACTAACACGACCGTACTAATAGCGGTTAGAACATTAAGCTTAAATCAGACCATCTGATCGAACTTTGACGGTTACGACCGTTACGGGCCTAGTCAGCTCCAAAGGCACCTCTTGGAAAGCTCCTTCAGGTTCATCAACCATTTGAAAGCTTCCGTGAGGTCTCCAATTCGCCTCGTCCCAACATTAAGCGACATGAACTCCCGTGCACAGAACGTCTTTAAGATTGTGTCTTGCTTCCAGCCGACCGGTCAGGTATTGTTCTAAAAGCAATACCCTCGTGGGTTCTGAGAGTCACTAGTGAGTTAACTCAGTAACTGTGGAGAATGAGACACGATCGCTGGAACAAGTGCTTTACTAGCCTGACCTTTCGGATTCTCACTCGAATCCATCATCAGAGACAGAGTCAGATAAGGATAGTGGATTGCCCAGGTGCTGTAACATTTATAGGATGCAGTTGCTAGACCACTACATGCCTATCACAGTTGGCAGCTCCCGCGTGCATCACAGCTCAACTGGCCAGGTGTTGAAGTATGCCGTCGCCGTGCAGTTGCTATGCGCCTGTATGCCAGTCAAGATTATCGGTTCCCACGCTCATCACACGCCGCCGAAGGGCTGACTACCGGATTTCGTCATCCGTGTGGACTCTTGGGTGATTTGGCACGCCAACATTGATACCAGGAACAGTGGTTATCCGCACATTCTCCTCCCCGCCAACTACTTTGCCTAGAATAAGTGTGAGCACCGAATATGGTGAGGGCAGGTCGTTGCGCTTGTTGATTGCATGAGGACCGGAAAACCATGACTCGAGTAGTTCACGGCTCACGCGGTTGTCGCCTCTAGCAAGGATTTCTGCTTCTTCAAACTTGAATGTGTGGTTGGGTCCCGTCGAATGACCCGCGACTTGGGAGTTGGCGTCGTTCCTCCTCACTGCTGCCGCGTGCTCGACCAACCGCGTCCGGAGTAGTCTTCCGGTTTCTCCGACTCGGCGGCGTGCGATGGGCGTGAGAGCCGATAATCTTGACTGGCACACAGAAGCATAGCAATCGCATGATGACGGCATACTTCAACACCTGACCAATCGAGCTGTAATGCACGCAGGAGCTGCCAACTGCGATAGGCATGGAGCGGCCTAGCAACAACATCCTATAAATGTTGCAACACCTGGGCAATCCACTGCCCTTATCTGACTCTGCCTCTGATGTTGGACCCGCGTGAGAGTCCCAAACGTCAGGCTAGTAAAGCACTTGCTCCAACGATCGTGTCTCCTTCTCCGCGACCACTTCCTGGAACTCGCCTCTTCGCTTCTATTAACTCAGTAATTGTTGTACAGTATTCACAAAACATTCAGGTCGCCAACGTACCACAGTCTACAAAGCCTTTTAAGTGGCCGCAGTGAGATCAAATGAGTGACCTTACTATAAGCGAGACCACACAAAAGAATCAGGCATATACTTACCCCTCCCGCAGGGCGTAGCACTCGAATCTGAATACCAGGTGATTACCAGTAACAAGGTAGCTGTCTTGTGTGGCTTCAAAACGCATGACTAACTCCTGGTGGCCGGTGTTGTAGAGGTTGAGGCAGTTCGTGAAGCCCAGAATGTAATCGCGTACAGATTCACTGGAGCAGACCTGAGGAAATGAAGCACATCAGTCCGATTATTGCTTGGTTAAATGGAGGCAGATGCCTTTTAGGCACATTTGTAGTCGCCCGGGGGATCAAGTGATGGCATGACAGCAGACACAGCACTGGTTCTGCTACGTCGAGTATTTCGTCCGTTCAGACCGGTACAGGCAAGCATCGGGTTCGGCTGATGAGGACACGCATAGACCTCGCACTCTAATGGTGAAAACGACTAGGCAAAAATAAAGTCCTAGCTTGAGCGAGGTAAAATCCATCTAGGGAGGAACTCCGTCAGAATTTGACGGTGAAGACAACACGAACTACCGGCGACTGACTCCGTTAGAAAGACTACTGTATTCAGAATACGCGGTGTCTGTTAACTCAAAGTGATGATAGCTTGTCCCTCTAACGGGTCACGCTATACCATAACGGGAATCATCCTTTTCTTAGTGGCGCGCGTTTGTCGATCTGCGCTGAGTCAGCGTGGTCCCTTAATTATTGTCGCACATGCGTGTGACATGCATTAGGCAGAGGCTGACACCAAAACGGCAGCCATTGAGACCGGTCTCATTCCCAGTCGACCAAAGGACTCAAACAGGCAATCGACTAATGGGAGAGAAGAGGCAGTGATGTCAATCCTGGAGAATCCTTCGTCATAGCAGATTGACGTGTAGTAAGAGTGACACACTTGGACCTATCACGAAGTTCCGATACTGGTGACCTGGGAGATCGCCAACTGACGGGTCCACTTGACACTCGGTAGGATGGTAGTTGGTAGCCCTGTCCACTGATTCTACAATTGTATTTACTGGCTCGATTTCAAGCTCTGTGATTACGTTCTCATTATGTCTGGGAGTGCACGCGCAGAAGCCCTGTCAGGATGACTTTCTTCTTCACTTTAACCGCCCCGAGAACGAGGCGCTGCAAAAATGTCTATATAGACTCATTGTATTGCACCCCTACACGGAAACCTTTAGTAAAGGGCGAAAGATTTATCCTAGGCGGATTATGATTCATCATGTTTCTCATTATGCTTCTAATTGCATGCGCGCACTGTGTTACCTGTATCTGATTCATTTTAGAGGTACTATCCTAGGCTGCATACCACAGTACCCAGATGTTACCTGAAGGCATAGCCATTCGTGTGCTGTCGCAGTATTTGTAAGGGCATGACCTTTCGACATCTTCATAAGACCCTACAGGTCAGTAGTCCTTTCTGCTGGAGATACTGCACTAGGTAGGACGACTGGATTATTTCCAGGATCCGCGAATAATCTGTCGGCCTATCCACTTGCGGTCCTGCGTTCCTTCACCTTCTAAGAGACTGGGCTCTGCAAGCAGAACAAAGTGTAACTTCATATACAGAGTGCTAATTCCTCTTTACATTGTATAGTACACTATTCACGTATAGCAAACAACTACTGCCATAGTTTTAATTCTAGATGTGGCCACAGTGACAATACACTATTATTTGCAGATTTTCTCTTTCGCCCAAACATATTTTTCGCATTAAAGTCTTACCCCGCTTGCGTTGTGGCGTCCTGCGTGCCGCTGCTTGACTCTCGTGTTCTCATGTCCATTCTGTCAGCTGGAGTACTATCGCACATACTGCGGAATAACCTTAAGACACACTGCCTTCTTCCTATTGATTGTTCGCCTTCACTTGCTATTCTTTCCAATCTGAGGCAAGGATACATTTATTCCGCATACCGTACTAATTATCCATGCTTATTTCTATACCCTCCTTGCATTTTTCACCTTATTTAAATTAGGCTTCCACTTTGCCAGGAACGTCAATTCCAGGCATACCCTACAAGCGCCATTTATGCCTCCACTTATCTGTCCCACTCGCATAGCCCCTATTACCACCGGTCCCGTAAGACAGGTAGCTGGGCAGTTTCGGTACCGGGAGGGCTACCAACTACCATCTAACCTGACACTTATTTGTGACGAGGGTCAGACTAATGTGGCTCCTTAATGGGTCCTTTATAGCCCTCTCACATCCGAGACACGTTCTTCGCGAATGAGGCCTGGTGAATGTGGAGTCAGGGATCAGATCGCGTGTGGAAAGCGTAAACAGGCAGTTTTATTTTGCCAGCCCCTGCACCTACAGTGCGTGACCGATCTCATGAAATGTTGGCCGAAATTCTGAAATGCATTTTCGACTAGGAAGGATTAATAAGGTGGCGTTGTATTATTAATTATTATGTAGCATAATCCTATGGTATTTCGGACTCGGCAGGATGTCGGCTTTTGAATGCACTTCTTTCTGATCTCTCGCAGAAACCGAACTCGGTAAAAAATGAGTACTTAAGTAGTATGCATCTTTCACGCCTATTTTGGATGGTCACACAAATTCAAATATATTTTATAGAAAACATGCACAAAATATGCTTTATTTTACTTGTTTGGTATTTCATGAGGTCGATCACGCACTGTACACCCAACGCCGGTCGTTCCGATATCGCCTTACCACCAAAAAGCGGTGAGTGTGGGGAGAGTAGGGTAGGTGTAGAGTAAGTCCACTCTACTCTAGACAAAGTCACGCGCAGGTTGCGAGTGCGACAACCTAATTGGGTAGTGATGCGCCATGTCGTTTGCTAGGGTTGAACTGTCGGCGAGGTTTGGTCCTGCAGCCCCACTTCATCGATACCATATGGTTGGCTTCCTAAAACAATTTTACTTAGCATACCTAACCCGCTGGATTAGGCAGGTAAAAAGAGCACAAGCAGAGCTCGAAGAACGCGCAGGAAAGCGCGTGAAGGTGGCGTGTACATACTCTCTCCGCAACACGGTCACTCGCTGGATTAGTAGGATAAGGAGGGTGCAATCACGATTGGAAGGCCAAGAAGGGAACCGCGTGGTAATTCGCAGTGCATGAACATAGTAATGGAACCGACCGAGTTCCAATCTATCCGAACAATTCCCAAAGAGGGCGCAAGCGGGGCTCGAGGCACGCCCAGGAAAGGAAGCGCGTGTGAACTGATACCTGATGTAAACGAGGATGGCGTATAGGCATTCGTCCCTCCGTGGCACGGTCACTCGCTGGTAAGGGAGGTGCAAACACGTGATATTTATTAGGTCAGCGTACTCGCATCTACTAAAATTGTTTTAGGAAGCTGGCTATATGGTATCAATAAAGTGAGGCTGCAGAACCAGACCTCGTCGAATTGTCGAGCGCAGGTTTAGTAATAGAAACATTCTAATTCATTAAGCAAGTCCGGCCATCAGTCACAGAAAGAATCATTGCGTTTCAGTAGACGGTTGTCCGACAGCCGGGTCGAGGGCATAAAACTTAACGTGACGGCCATTTTTGACAAACATAAGACACAGCCTAACCAGCGGGTGGCAAGCAAACCGCATAGTCGCCTTGGCTGCTGTGTACACCGGGTTTGAGTAGAAATAAGTGTCGCGGATGAAACCGATCACGAAGACAAACCAGCTACTTATATTCAGTCAGTAGCCATACCAAACTAATTTTCATTCATTTGCTAAAACGAGGTTCTCTTTTCCGAAATAATGTCTACACACTGATGTTTGGAAATACGCAACAAAGAACTTCTTGGACACCAACACCCGTGAGCCTGTGACTTCGAGAGCTGCCCGAGGAAACGTCCACCTCCCAGTTCAGGGAGCAGGAAACAAGTCTGTACAGAGTACGAGGGCAGCTGTCGACAGAAAGTTCAAGCACGCGTGTGTGAAGTACGTAACTCGCATTCGCGTCAAAGCCACGCGAAATGGCTGGTCCACGAGAGCTGTGGACGGCAACGACGAGACGGCTGGCCTTGGAAACCGTAAGACGCCAATCACACGTGTTCAAGTGCTGATGCATATGGACAATGACCCCCTTAAACCGGGCTGCGCTGTAGATGCGCCGAAAGAAAATGGGGGTCAGGTTGGTTCACGTCACGTGTCTGTCGGGCAGCGTGGAGGCTGAGCCAGCACATAACTACTGCTGAGCGTGTGTTGTGACAAGTCTAAGACATAGGCACTCACGCCGTGTCCGTCACTGCACCCAATCTCATCATCAGTTGACTAAAAGTCTAAGACAGTCCACTGGCCCATGGAAGAGGGACGGAAGGAGATTGACACCGAGAACTCCGTCCTCTTGGCACATCAGTGTACTGCCTACTACGAAGTTTTGCGCGCTAGAAGGTGTGGCTTAGGTTGCCGACTGAGGAGATAACTCGGTCTTCCCTAGGGCTAATCCAGACTACAATGGCTACTTCATCATGTGGTCTTTGTGACACTCACCCAAGTGGACACGAGGCGTGCGTAGCGTGAGCTGACGGGCTGTTAGGCTTGGTCGGCCACTACGCTCGATGCCGAACTCGGGTCGTCCTGACGGTGTCTTTCAATCGGAAAATGGTAGGGGAGGCGTGAGAGGAGGAGTGCGTTAGATGTTGCGCAACTTTGACCCACTGCCAACTAATTCACGCGTAAGTCTCCAGTGCTGTATTTATTCCGCGAGGCACGCGGTCAACTTCATTCCTTGTGGGCGTGGAATTTTCGCTTATGGACAGACAAAACCAATCTCTTCGTCCGTGTCTCTGTTGCCGACAACGGGGAACATCTGCCGACGTTTCAACTTCAAAAAGTCGATTCTGATCGGCCTCGATGTCTCAGGCAGCTCGAGTGAGCAAAAGGCGCCCCCCTGAAAATCTCTTGAACTCCGCCTAACCACAATGAGTGAGGAAGAGTAGGAGTTGCGGAGAACAGATGCGCAGTGCAGGTCACGAAGAACGAAAGCCACCGAAAACGGGTCGGGGTCATCAGTCACGATGAGATGAAGATAACGACGAGATTTACGAGCGGAAAGGTTACTTCAGTGGTGAACACAAGGGCACATCAGGGTTTCCATCGGCTGCAAAGTGATACAAATTCAACTTGGAAAGTTCATCCCGCAAAGACGCTGAAGAAAGAGGGTTACTCTGTCGAATGGTGGAGCTCTCCTCATAAAAAAACGAGCTGCGAACTACTTTGCTCGAGAACACTAGCGTCTTATGTAGTTGTTGATTAAGGATGAACGGACGAAAAATTTCCCTATGTTATCAGGAAAAACGTTAATATCAGTAAACAAGTATCTGGTCTGAATGTGTTTTCTGTTGTAAATGTACAATTTCAGCAACTGGCCGAATATGAGACCTTTGAAAAGTATTGACGGGTCGAACGGCCGGCCTTGAACCGGGGAAGTTATTTGGGCAGAAACAATTCTAAAAGCTTTTTTACAACAAGACACCGAATACTGGGGGGGAGAACAGTAATATTTACATGCTCCAACTTCAATGACGGTTGGATAAAATGAAGGAAAACTGAACCCAGAAACGTCTGAAACGTCGGTTGTCTCTTCGCAACCCCAAGTAATCCTGACGTAATTGAGCTAAGAACTTACTCTCCAAGCTGGAGACCTGTCATATCTACGACGTCTAACGAAAAACCGCAGTTCCAGAGTTGTCGCCACCGTGGTTATGGGCACGAAGGCGTTACTGCAAGTACTACAATAGCCACACAGACAACTCTCAGAAGCAACTGAGCCGACCTTCGAGAGGATTTGAGCTAAGTAAACTTCTGGGTGATCACCAACTTCTCAAAAAACTAACAAGACCAAGTAGCCAACGTGATGAAAACGCTGACACCGGGTTTGGTAGGACACGGAAATAATTACCCCCTTGTAGTGCCTACTCATGTGATTTAAGTAACACGACATGAATTAGGAATAATCCAGGAGGCCCATCGCCTCTATCAGCGTCCCCTTCCTTCCCTGTCTGATTGGCGCCCACCCCTCCGAACTGACTCCTGCTGCTGCTGCTTTTGCCTACTTCAATGGTCTTCATAGTCCCCAGTCGGCGCCCTGGTAATCACCAACAAGGTTGCTGGAAAATGTCCTTTGTTCTTTATTAATGCTGCCAGCCACTAATACAATTAGTGGTTTCAAGCTGTAGACTGTGGGGCCTGTTATAAAAAACGTCGGGGAAGGCTTCCGTTGCCCATGGAAAATATTGCCGTCTCCTGCGTCAGCTCCGTTCCCTAGATTCCTTCCTAATCCACTGAATGACGTTTTGACCGCGTTGTGGGCCCGTGTATTCCTAGCTTCGTCTTGTGCACGTGCCAGGTCGGGCATCGTAACAGTCAATCGGTATTCTGTTGATGGACAGCGAAATCGGACGGTGGGTGTCAGCGAGCTTCTTAGTCCTACGTTGGCCAAATCGCTGGAAAGCGTCCCCTGTCTTCCCTTCCATGTCGTAGACATTCACCCTTCTTTTGTTTCCTACCATTGTTCCTGACTTGATGCCACAATTGATGAGGTCTGCGGTTTCTGTTTACGTCTTATCATATCGTTTCCGCAGACGGTTTCAGATGGTTTTCTATTAACCACACGATTGGTCGGGTGAAAGTATTCATGCAGTCACCCCCGACTGGTGGCCGCGTGTCCCTACCTAAATTAAATAAGAAGACGCTGTAGCTCGGAGGATACATATTACCGTGTTTAACCCTTTTTTAATCACGAACTTTCCAGAAATAGGGTTCACCCCAATAGATTGGCTCAGACAGCTATTTTATCTGTTACATCGGCGACACCCCTTTATTAAGTTAATAACGAGGGAGACGTTAAAAAGAGGAAAACTCGTGGTGGCTCACGCCAACAGGAGAGGGCGTTCAAATAAAAACCCAAGTCCCAGGAAGCATTTTGGATAAAACAACGGCGAGTCCAGTACGCCTCATCCAATGAATCGCTTGTTTGTACCACCCTCACGTGAACGCAATTTGAGGTCTGATTTTTCTAACCCCAACCCCAGGCCCCGAATAAGCTCAGCCTGAGGTTGGGGTAGGTCTGGCCGATAAGGAAAAATAACCCAGAAACTGCTACACCAGTCTGCCTTGTCTCTGATTACCATGTGGCCACTTGCACGGACACTAGACAGGAGTTCCAAGGAAGATCGGCGACTTTCAGCATTCCTCCTCCCTTCTTATCTTTGCTCATGAGAACGAATCACCTTGTGTACTCAAGGATTTAGTATCACTCATGGATATTTTGAGTGCATTCGTTCTGGTGTTTCATCTCCAGCCAATATTGAGCAGATAGTTCAGACGTCGAACCTAGAGGCCTTCGTAATGGTTCTTGAGACACCGATTTGTTTTTTGGGCTCGCTACGGGAACCTTCTCGCCCATTTGAGAAACCGTACCGCATGCATATAAAGGAATTCGTCAGGAGTGCAGGATCAATAGCTCTGTACTAGGAGATCAAGTCTATGGCGTAAGTGAGTACTTCCGGTAAAGAAACACGATTAAATTAGGCTGCAGTTCGTGGTTCATTCGAACTTTTACCATGGGTTCAGGGGTGGAAAGGTCGGCGACATGCCACCGTATGGCACAATCGACTAAAAAAAGTCCCGGTTAACGGAATCAATTTTGAAAACCCGCCAAACTTACGCGAGCTGACCCGCATAGTCTAGCTCCTGGAAGAAGATCGGGCTGGTCCTTTCTTGCCCATATATAGCGGCACTAGCCGGAGCAACCCGAAAGAGGGAAGATGACACCTCAAGGGCAATGCAAAGGACGATAACGAAATAGTCCCAGCACGGTAATTTGTCATCTGCCCTAAACGTGGACTTCGCTGCAGCCTAAGTAAACGGATTCCGACAAGTTAATATGGGACCAAATGTCAAGAAGTCAATCGAACAACATTTGCTGATGCCTGTATGAAGGTAGGCCGTGCAAGGCGGGCTGTTCTCTAACCCCTCCATAGCATCAGTCTACGCACAATCGGTGATGGGCCGCTGTCACTGTTACACTGGAGAGTCAGGGCATCGTCGAACCGTGGCTGTAGAAGCAAGGACCTCTTCCCGCGGTGTCAAGACTAGTGTTGTAGGCATATCAGCGAGTGTTTTGTATCCCCTCTCTCTCTCTCTCTCGATGACATGGTAAGTCCAAACCATAATTCTACAAAGCAAACCACCTTCGAATTCGTAAGTTCATTTTTTGCTAAAAGTGGTATGAAATGCAAGACCACTGGTTTCACTTTCATACTTTGGGCCACACCAAAGAGAATCTTGTGGAGAGTGAGCAGTAAAACGGTGCTCCCACTATGTGATCCTTTTGCAGTGCGCAGAATGTACTACTACGCGGTTTCCTGAGGCAATGGAGTAAAATTTTGGAAGACTGCCGCCTGTGCAAACCGGTTTCGGTAAGAAAAAGTCAGTCACCCGAAGCTCTTGATTCATTCAGCTTAAAAATCATAGCGGTAGAACACTCTTTTCGGCCTATTTTTGACTAACATCGACAGTCACAATGTAGCCCTGAAGCGGTAAAACTGTCCTCCAGTTGCTTTGCATGTAGACTAACATAGGATTTGCAGTCAGTTTGTTTAGTAAATGAATCGAAATTGCTTTCTTTTATGAAAGTGACACTCATCCGACCGACCGACCGCAGGTAGAAACACGGCTGTTTCAACCTCCCTTGACTTGGTCGTGGTAATATCTATCGCTTACGTTTTGTTTCTACATAGGGTATATAGCCATCTCCCCGCACTAATTAAAGCCCTTAAAACAGACGATCGAGTAGGTGGAAAAAAGGATATCAAATAAGGCGACGAAATACCTTAATCGGGACACCAAAGAGGCAGGCAGACTGAAAGGATGCTGATGGGTAGGCGTTCAGTCGAAAGAGTACCTCATTTACTGAAGCGTACAAAAACTTCTGTAGGAGATCACAGCCTAGCCGAGGGGCGAGGTTAGTAGCAGCACAGATTATCGGGCTTACCAGTAGAAATTTGCTTTTGGCAATTGAAGGGCATACCCAATAGAGGTCTGAGGGGAAAAGGTAGGTGAAATGGAAAGAGACGAAAAATGGAAAAAACAAAAATCATGCGCACGTTAAACAAAAGGAAACTCAGATGAATATTTTGTTCAACCCCAGGCTTGGCATTTACAGTAATTAAGAATAAGTTTGCCATCTGCGTGAAAGCAATCGTACAGAGTGCCTATCTCGGTGTCCAGGGAGGGGGCGAAGCTCTGTGGCACATATAGAAAGAGGTTATCATGGGGATCAAGCTTGAGATAGCGGCGGATGAAGCTGACCATGCTCAAAATCGTGTCCGTGCGAGGAACCTTCCATTTGGATTTTTGCATGCCCGGGACATCACCCACTGGCTTCAGCAGAACATCCACCTTGTCAGTACCGGTGGACATTTAACAGTCAGACTGCCTAAAAAGTCAAGTAAAAGCTTAGCCGCCAGCCGACTTTATCAGAAATTCTACACAATTTGTTGATGCCATTAGAAAAAACGACAGTGCGCAGCGGGAGCCGGGGATGTTAAATAGTGACATTTGGAAGTTTTGAACGTGAAAATGCAACAATAGAATAAAAAGGTTCAAGTTCACTTTTAATAATTGTGATGTTCTGCTTACCGTCAGAAAAACGATTAAAAATGGTTCTACATGATCTCTAAAGACCGCGCAAATCAGCGCTCGAGTTACACAGGAAACTCAACAGCAGGTCAAGTTAATAAAGCTATTTCTGCCTCGATGAGCCGGCTATACATAAATGCCCGAGGTTTCTTCGGCTAATATATGAAAAGGGCAGTCCGGGAGCAATATTTGTGCAGATGGTTTTTGGACTGCTATATTGGGATCTCAGATGGAAGTGAGGAATCGTCGTAGCGTCCTCTTCAACACACCACTGGCAACTCTTCATTACAGTGAGGAAGCTTAAAATCTATAAAGTCAAGATCAAAGGTCCAACCCTTTCCACTTGAAAATTCTTCAGACGTAAAAGTAATGCGTCAACAATAAATCCTTGACATTTAACATCTTCGCAGTACTGAAATAGACCCAACTTCGGTTGACTAGTAATGTTAGGATGTCAGAGAAGCGTCCATTGAAACGACTTTTTTGTGAATAGGTAGCTAGAAACTCCTGCAAGCGAGGGTTGGAAAACTATACAAAGGTAACCGAAAAGTATCACTTAAGTGTACGGAGACTACAATAGCAAGTTGCAAAGTCCGCCGAAGAAACGAGACCGAAGAGAGAATAAAAAATCAAGACTGGAATACGTAGACACTGCTAATGTTCATTCAGTGCTGTCGATGGTCTTGTGAAACACCGCGCCTACAACAGCATCAATAATAACTTCAGCGTTCATACTTGGCCCGAAAGCACTGCAAATTTGAACCAGCTTCTCCATACCCGTCCACATTATAAACGTATTTTTCGGTCCCGGGTCGACCTGATTGGACATCTTCGTGTCCACTTCTACAAACCCTATCCTACCTACCGGACAAATTTTGTAACTACTGCTCAAAACACTAAGTCCTCAGAAGATTCACGACCTCAGGCCACCGAAATTTGCCCAACAACAAAAGTATCACGTAGGTTCGCCTGCCTTCGTGGCACCTACCATGGAGTACAATGGTTAGGACTTTTGTTATAGCAGCTGTGAACACTGGATCTGCGCACAATGCTCTAAATTATTATTTCAATCACTTTATCGTCTACCACAACTGCGCTTTTGGACTTGTCCTACCTACTGGACGCCCAGCATAGCATACTGTCATAGTGAATCTTACATGCTGGTAGTTTGCAGCAGGCCACCCAGAGTCAAACTAGTATAAATAGCCTAACTATAGCTGGTCTCCAACTTAAAAAAGATGAACCTGTAAGGTTGAAACTAAAAGAACTGCGTGTGAGGACAGTAAAAGAGGATGAATGCGTTTGAAGAGGTCCGGTCACGGGGTCGTATTTGGTTACCAGGGGTGACAATACTGCTATTTTTCAGCAACATTTTCGCATTTTCGATTCGGAAAATTGCCTTCAGTTAATAACATGAAAAGAGCGAGTAAGTTCCCCAACCAATATGAAATAGTTTGCCCCGTCGTATTTTCTGTGACTATGGCCGCCATTTTAAATCAAGTAAAGTCACTACTCCCTGTCCTCGAGCGTCAATTTAGTAATTTAAGACTGATTTACGCCATTTTCAAGACCTCAAAAGTTATCAAAAATGACTAATCCCTGTGAATGGGGAGATCTGAAGTAAAATTTGCTCCTGATGTTACTAGCTTTAGCACTGACAACTCGCGTTTTGATGATTGCATGCGGTTCGTAGTCTGACCGACTAACTGGGTGCAACCTGCGCGGGACACAGCCGTTGTCTGGCGTTAGTCACGTGAAGAGACTACTGTCGGATTGTGCCCGCAGGCACTGCTGATAAAAGCCGGTCAATCGCAAAACTATCCACAGACTAAGGGCAGAAAGCCTGGGTAGGCACAATTATAAGGGGTTTCGCCTCTTAGTACCGTAGAGTGGTGGGAGAATGCGAAGGCGTCCCTTCATTCCTCTTTAGCACAATGTACTAGATAAAAACCGTGGAAGCCTCCCATTACTACGACTCAAAAGCACACTGCGCTTCTGGATTATTCATAAAAAAAAGTCTTACATGCTAGGCCGACCAAAAAACAAATAACCAATAAATTATGGATCGCGTTAGGGCTTACAACAGGCGCACACGAGGGCCAACCCGCCGAATACAGACCAACCCGATATTACGAGTTTTGTCCTGTTCTCTTGAAGCGTCCAAATTTCGGTCTGGTAAAAGTAATGGAGAAACCTACTGATGTCGATTTATTGTGTTCTTGTCATCTCAGAGAACTTGGCCGGTCTTTCGATGCTAGATCAGTAAATAAACAAAATTTAGTTTGGAATTCAAGAGACCTATCGACTGAAGCGATACTGTTTATCGCTTTTTCCATTGTCGTCAGAAATATTTGAGGATGTTCGGCACGTTCGATAAGTGTCTTCATGTCTGGTTATTATCCTAAATGACGGTTTTTTAGATATCTGTAGTGTTTTTTTAATCTGAAGACACTCTGTTTATCTTACTCCTGGCGTCTTGTGCAATGATGCGTCCTTGTATGACACATTCTTAGACGCACGCACAAGGGGGATTTATTCGTCTGCCACTTTGAGGTCGTGTATGATGACCTTATTTCGTCTGACTTTTTATTGGCACCTTGAAGTTCTGCCTTGTATTGGTCCAGTCACAGCCTCCTAAAACTGATAGTCAATTTCAGGGTTGACGTTGGCCTGACCTCACCCATAGCACTAAGACACCTTTCTCCGCTGGCTCGGACGCGTGACTCGCGTCCGGTTGCCGATCTGCTCCGGCATGTAAGTTCTCCTTCAATCTGTGCAGAATTCAACATTCCTTACAATGACACGCCCTTTTTTTCTTATTCAGAATCTGGCCCGGTGGTCGTTGTTATTATGGCATATGCTTGACTTTGGCTGTCGCGGCTATGTAACTGCTTCCTCAACGAATGATTTCATTGTCATATTGTCTTTATTGAATTTTTGGTTCACTGTGGTTATGATTTTCTGGTGTCTGTATGAATACTGAAGTGGTACCTCTTAATCCTGCCTGTCGATTGAATCATTGTCCGAAAAACGCGCCTCTAGTCTGCGTCATTTTACTTTGAACATCCACGATCATTGATGGTCATTCTTTTCAGGCCAGAAACTATAGTCACTTCCTCAAGCGTGCGCTGCAGGTTGAGAGTTGTCTTTTAGCCTTCGAACTGGCTATCTATACTCGTATAGGCGAACATGCAATTAGCGAAGGTTCCAATGTATATTTGTAAGTCCCCTCGATGTGACATTTCGTAGACGCCTAACGATATTTCCGTAAGTGATCGTGCGTCCTTAGGCCAAACGACTTGGCAAGCAAATGTTGCCCGTGGTGTATTGGATATTCCAACCCCAGTAAGTTGTAACAGCCAAAAGACCATCTTGGGTCTCTTTCGGTGTGTTTAATTACCTTCCTGGATTCCTGTTGCTGTGTTAAGGTCCCTCAGCTTTTCGTTTGACGTTTGCTTTCCACGACAAAATTACTTGGATTTTCGTTGGCTCCGAAGACCTCGCTGATTTATAGTGCTTTGGCCTCTGTCTACTGGCGTGTTGCAATATTTTGGATCTTTTTGAGACGGTGTGCAGACAAGGCTACGTTTGTGAGGCCGAACTTGTTTTATAAAAAGATTTAGTACCTAACCTGTCTTTGTGGCCTCGCCAAATGCAGTACTTTACAAATCTCCAGCTTGACATCGGCGCATAATGACGTCTAGAAAGAGAAGGTGGCGGTTTGTTTCTGCTTTCCTCAGCATCTCGGTTAACCAAGTTCAGTAAACCTAAGAGATATCTTTTATGTGTTCACCATGGCGTGATAAGCAAGTTTAGTAATGTGAGTAGCAAAATCGTACAACTTTATGTTTAGGGCAGAGGCGCTGCAACCTTTATCCAATCACAAAGGACTCGTTAATGGATGACAAAAATTAACAAATGCTACCTACGTAAAGATTCACCCAAATTTATCCAGGATTGGAAACCTCACCTGCTTTTCAGGTCCCAGTCATTTCCTGAGAATTTTTACGAGGGTGTGTTCTTGGAACTGAGTCCGCCAGACATTTACGAAAATTCTCGAATTCACTCGGCAGCTGACCAACTGGTCAGTTCACGGAGTTTACAACTGGCTCTTCAGACTCCTCGAACTAGGTCCGTTCATAGTTATTCCATATGCTAGCTGCAGAAACTGATGCAAAATTGGCTGGAGATATCCATGACGTAGGTCTCGAACGCTGTGGACATATGAAAACCCTACAAAATAGTCCGTTGGGTTTGGGGTAGACCCTCCGTACTAATCGACTCTTTTCGCGAGACACATGACGACTTTATTGCTGACATCTTGACCAAGAACGGACGCTAACGTAAATACTTTAAGAAACTTTTCAGCTTTGATAATCAGTTCATCACTTTGCAGTGGAGTTTTGTACTTTTCCGTTCTGTGTTATTTTGTGTGATTTCTAATTTCAGTAGGAAACCATTAGTTAAATTCTCGGACTGAGCAACAAGGCACTTGAAGAGGATGGAATTCCCGCCGAATTCCACAACTCTTGTGTCGAAACTCTGGAGCCCTGACTCCCGAAGGTGGATAAATCAACATGAGAAAGTTAGCAGCTTATCCATGAGCGGGACTGCATCTTCCTTGTGTTATTCTTCATGAAGGGAAAACTGGACAAAGCGTGAAATCCACCGTGGCATAAGTCTCGTCGATAGCGCTGTAAAAGTCTTTTGTTATTTTATGTCCAATGGAGTTTCATAGTTATGTGACCCTAGGACGAGACCCAACCAGGCTGGAAGTAAACGCACGAATCGGATGTATACATTATTCTGCAGTCCTCAATTCCAGCATGACTGCCAGTTACAGATGACCCTTTAACTTGCTGATATTTCAGCAGCGTTCGATACCGCTCACCAGTATTTAAATCTACCTGTCGTTCTGATGTCCAAAACTATCGAGGTGTCCATAAAACACCTTCAGTCGCCAAAATCCTTGAAAAAATTATCGTAATAAAAAGTACCGACTTTTGTACAGCCAATATATTTATTAGCCCCTCCCAACATGGTTTTTTACCAGATCGTTCTTGTGAAACATGTCATCTGTCGTTTCTCAATCTACTCACCTCTCTTCGTAATGACCATCTATCTGTTGTTGTTATTTATTTTGATCTTAATAAAGCCTTTGATAAAGTGCCACAGAGAAGACTCTTGGTCAACTTAGAAGCTCTGGGATTTTGCAGTCCCCTTACAGACTGTATTAAGTCATGCCTGTCTAAACGTAAACAAAAGGTTTTAGTGGGATCTTCACTTTCCAACAAGAGCTCTATCGTAAGTGGTGTCCTACGAAGTATCGTTTTAGGCCCTGTCTTGTCCCTGCATTGCATTATTGATATCCCGTCGGCAGTTAAACATTCTCATTCCTTTATTTATGCTGATGATCTGAAATGTGTTTATTCATCCGATGAATCCACGACCCTTCATTGCCTGGAGCAAATTCATGTTGACTTGCCTGCTCTTTCAGCGTGGAGCTCAAAATGGCTAATGGAATTCTCCCCGTCTAAATGTCTCTATAGGCGTTTAGGACCTGATAGTCTATCCTACCTAGTGGTATTTCAAGGCACACATATGACTGAATGTGTCAACATCAAGGATTTAGCTTTAAATTACACCAATAATCTTGATCATTAACCACACGCTGACAGAATTACGGTCAAAGCTGCCCAGATTTGTGACTATTTCTTACAATTTCTATCTTCTTGAAAATAAATTAAGACTTTATCGAATGTTTTCTTCTCACTCTCGAGTATTGTTGCCCATTCTTTGGTTTGATGAACGAGGCTAATCGTTCAAAAATTGAAAATGTTCAAAGACGTTTTGCTAGAAGACTCCGAGGTACGGAACATCCGAATGTCTCCTACTCAGAGAGATTCCGGATAAATAACCTGAACATTTTCTGTGTTCGAAGACAAGATGCAGGTTTCTGTCTCCTCTTTTACATTAATAATAGTTCAACTCTTCCCGAATTTCAGTCATTATCCCTAGTAGTCGCCCATACAATCTTCGCGATTCTTCGTTGATTATTCCTCTTCCCGCTTCCTCCACCTTTATGTGTTCTCTTTTTCGCTTCCTGGTATGCTTTTCTCTGGAATAACCTTCCAATGAATATTAGATATTCGGACAATTTACATAGTTTTAGGAGATGTTTGCGTCTCTATTTGAATACTGACTGGAGTAAACGTTTATTTTCCGCATTTTTCCCGGACAACATCCTCCGTGACACTGAGAATGATCATCGGGAATTTGGGACGCCGCCATTAAATTACCGTCTCCGCCCACATTTCCTTCTCCTGTGTGTAGTTTTGCTTCCTAGGATCCCTCATTATGAATGTTAATTTTTTCGATTTTTCAGTTCCTGTGGCGTGCCCCTCACAGGGTGCGATATCCTTCCTGACAAAGTCTCTCAAATAAATAGCGCGGCTAGATTGACACGCACGCTCTAAGCCGCTGCAGTTTCGCTGATCGCCGACACTCCTCTGAATTCCACTGTGGCCCCCGCGATTTCGGACTGTCATCCCCCAATCGTTGATTTTCGCGGATCATGGTATCAACTCCTCATTTCGACTTCAAAATGCCCTGTTGACGATCACGGCGGGAATTCTCTGCCTTCGCCATTTGCTTGTAGTCTGGTCGGTCAGCAAAAAGACCTCAGGCCCTCATTCTCCCGCCTAAGCTTTGATGACCGACATAGCGTTTTATGTCCCCTCCTCGGCTGAACTTTATGCGGGCTGTTTCTGATCGCGTCTGGGTTCCTCTGTCTTGCCACTTCCAGGCGGATAGCATCATCCGGTTTACCAAATGCTGAAGTGACTATCTAGGTTTTGTATCCCTTATAAAAGACCATATTCCGACCAGTCCTGTTCGACCTGCATATTCTCCCTTTCGTGAGCGGCGATTTTTTTCTCCTCTGAGGGCGACTAATTTTTCTAGTCTCATTTTTTTCATAAGGAGTTTTTTCCAGCTCGCTTACCGTTTTATATGTGACTGTTTATTCTACAACTGAAAACTGGATAATGTACAGGATCTGTACACTTGCTCCAAATTTTACTCGAAAATTTATATTTACTTGCTACGATGGGACTTCCAAGGGTCTTTCAATAAAATTATTCATTTATTTACTTCATGGTGGAGAATAGATTGAGAAGATTGTTGGCAGCAAGACATCTGTATGATCAGAGCTTGCTAGTGTTCTGACAATGCTTGATTTGCGCTCGACAACAATCTTTTCCACTCGCTCGATATTCTATCGGGCTTCGACAACATTGTATTCTATCACCTGTCGGGTATAAATAAGTCTTTGGCTGAACTCCCTGAATAGCCTACCACGCTTCTGATAAAGCTGAGTTTGTGCCCCGACCTTGGCTAAATAATTTCGTCTATGCTGGTGATACCACTTCGTCATACAGCCCTCGGCAGCCTATAGACTACGGTGCCGTGATTAAATGTGGTAGTTAAATCATCCATAAAAGCTTGTAAGACCAAAGTATCTTTTAACTGCTTTCCCGACTAGGAGAAGTTGCCAGTAGGAATCACTAATTAAACCTGAAGAAGCCGCCAGTTTCATATTCTTCTGGTAAATTTCTAACAAGTGGACAAAGTAAGGACAACGCCATCTCCTAAATTCCCATGACTTTGTTCTCGCAATCAGTTAAACGTGTCTATGGCCTTTTTCAATGCCTCCGTCTTTGCCAAAATCAGTCTGTGCAGAGCATTCGTCGAGTTAGTACTCCCATACGGTTACGGAAGCTTGACTGTGAACATGAAAGAGGAGCTAGTGTTTGGAATCAATGGTCAACGTTCCCAGAAATCATCCTCCAAGAAATAAACGAAGATTTGGTTTCCAGTGAGGCGATTCGCACAAATATGACAATGCCGAAATTATATATCCGGCTGCCCAGACAAACAACTGACTTTGCACGTGCGCGCTGTTCGTCCCCCGTTTCACTATTCTAGCCTCATTACCCCTGGTTTGGCACAACTGCCCACTCCAGATATGAAATGGTGGGATAACACAAAATCTGTCTTGGCACAGTCCGTTAAGACACGAAGTTAGTTCGTTGGTATAAGGCTCCGGTTACTGGCGTAAAAATGGTTTGAGCTCTCTATATATGCTTTTGTACTGGAAGATGGGCATCCCAAGAAACATAATTCGAAGAAGAATGAGTCCTTTGGGAAAATGAACAAACTTTATTTCGTAAATTTTCGAGTCTGGTTCCCCAGCTCGTCTTCAGACGTGTAGTAAGTGTGAAGAAACAGTCAAAATTTAAACAATGCCGAAAAAATCGATATTGCTCTGTCATGACTGAGGATGGGTTAATGCTGTGGGCTGATGTCACGTCTTGATTGGCTATTACCTTTTCCATTTTTCTTTGAGACTTTTGTACATGTTGTCAAGGTCGATGCGTCGATTGATGCATGAATCATCAGAGTGAATGGCCTCTAGGAATTCTCGGCCTTTCTTATAGGGGCAGGAACCGACAATGCGTGTTTTATCCCAAGCGAATTTGTGCCCAGTTTCAAGAGTATGCATGGCGACTTGGGATAAGTGGTCCCGCCTCTTCACTGCCAATTGGTGTTCATGTAGGCGTGTAGAGGCAGATTTTCCGGTTTGACCACAATACACTGCATTACAAGTGCCACATGGAATCTTATAGACTACTTCTTTCTTATCCAAATAGCCAACCCTATCCTTAGGGTGTACAAGCTGATTGCGTAGCGTGGTAGTCGGTTTGTGAGCCACTTGTATTTGGTGCTTCCTCAGGTGTCTTTCAACGAGTTCAGACACATTTTTAATGTAGGGAAGCGTTCGCCAATGTTTTGGTTTTGGCGTCTGATCGGAACAATCTAGTTCCTTCTCTCTTTCTTTTGATTCCTGCGCTTTCATGCATCTGCGTACAAAATCTCTGGGGTAGCCGTTTTGGGAAAATAGGTTGAATAGATAATTGAGTTCTTCTTTGTAACCTTCGTTCTCAGAGCAATGTGTCTTTGCTCGATTAAGTAGGGTCTTAACAGCACTCCGTTTGTGAGCCATAGGGTGGTTGCTCTCGTAATGTAGGATAACTTCCGCGTAAGTTTCTTTGCGGTCACTACACGTGAAAAGTCACAACCCACGCCATCATTGTCCTCGCCTCTCCACATTCCCCATTAACGCATGCCTCTGAGCATTTTCAGAACTTGCGTTTCGCGACGTGTCCTACAGTCTCAAGATCTTGAGGTTGACAAAATATTCTGTCTGAAGATTCACCAAAAATTTTAAAAAAATCTCTCGCTGTCCTTAGTCGTTATTTTGAAGATGAGGAATCTCCCTCCTCAACGTCGCTGGATATATCTTCGATGACATTCTCCTTAGTCTTCTCAACAGCCATCTGAACAGGGTCATCTGCCGAAATGCCAGTGCGGTTTGCGCCGTCATCGCGGCACCACCGACATGGGCTTCGTCGGCCGCCAACTACATGAATGTCGGGAGATGAAGATCCATCTTTACTCCGCATTCCTGGACTTTACGAAAGCCTTCGACATGGTGATTCGCGATGGACCGCGGCAAACCATGCAGAAATTCGTCGGTGTCAAGCGATTCACTCAGATGTGGCGTCAGCTCCACGGTGACATAGCGGCGCGCGTCACGGACAGTGTAGCTGTCTCAGAGGCATCTGTAGTGACAAGCTGAGTTAAGGAGGACTGCATTGTCGTCCTAACCTTCTCCTGTCTCATACTTCCTGCCATGCTGATGGACGCCTACCGTGATGAGCAACCCACAATCCGCATCGTCTACAGGAACGACGGATAACTCCTCAAAAACTCGCGCATGAATGACTCAACGCGTCTCTCCACGGCTATCGTTCTCGACTTGCTCTTCGCTGACGTTTGTGCACTCAGGACCGAGACAGATGCTTACGTGCAACGGAGAATGGAACTCTTCGTTTCCGGATGCGCTATATACGGGCTGAACATCAACACAGAGAGTATGGTGGTCATGCATTAGTCGTTTCCTAGTGCTGCATGCAAAATCCTAGTCAGTGTGAGCTGTGACCGTGGGGTGTGGGTGTGCGCCTGGGCGCAGGTCCTCGCCGTGCAAACCACCTACGTCCTCTCCCGCCTCCGGTCTTCTTGCCTCTGTCTTGACACCGGGTTCAGGTGAGAGAGGCGGAGGAGGAGGAGGAGGAGGAGGAGGAGGAGGAGGAGGAGGGAGTGGGGTACGTGCAGTGCAAGAGCAATATTGCAGTAAACTAAGTCACGCGCAAATCACCCTCCCGGCTCCTTCCTGCTGTGTACATCGTCGACAACGACGGTCGAAATGTCGTACGTCGTAAGGAGCTATTAAAGATGAACAGAAGTGAGGCCATTTGAATAAACATTTCAAGGTCTTAAAACGCAGAGATGCCCTTGTTTCGAAGATAACATATGAAGATGTGATTTACTGACAAATGACTACCAGAAAGGATATTTTGTGCGTGTTTTCTACAAAATATATTTCGACGCGCAACGGCTTCGAAAATATTATGGGACGATATCAAAAGGCTTAAGTAATCATTTTTCAATACGTTTGTTTTTGCACGCACATTCAAAATATGGCATCTTGAGGTGACCGAAGCATCCTCAGACTATGCTTCACGATAATCAATATTACTACCCTACTTAAGTTACCCTTTCTGATTAAAACCACATTACAGGATTTCGGTTGCAGTCGAGTTCATTGATCGGGTTACGGAATATGCCCGCCCGGAGTACCCTTGAGCGCAATATGGAGCCCTCGCAGGTAATCACATGGTGACAAGGCATATACGCTGAAAGGAGTCCCGACAAAGTGGAAATTGTGATGGCCATTTCAAGCTTGTTAGCCGTCGTCAGACGGCCTCACCCACACCCGGGTTGTTGTCTTACCTGAGACTCGATCGCGTTTTATCGAACCTCATTTAGCCCAACGCCCAAATTAATGAGCTACATACCGTTCCCACTTGCTTTCGAATTGCGTTCACAGACCGTGTTACGGCACATGACCATCACGTTATGCCTAGGAGATCAATTTAGAGCCCTTGGTGATAGTCTAATAACGAACAGGAATATACGCTGAAGAGTTTCGACAAGGACAAGCCTATTAACCGTCATCAAGCAGCCTTAGAAATAGGCCAGCACTATGGTAACGATGCAACATTTATTGCGCAATTTCTCAAAACTGGTTACGCACTTCGTCGTCAGACAAATGGACAGTGTCCAAAAACAGTCAATTTTAAATCATGCCTAATAAAACATTCTGCGGTTTTTTGACGTTTATGCTAGTAGGCGTCCACTGCATTAATTTTCTTGGTCAGTGCCGGCTATTTCCGTCCCCACCTGACCTTGAAAACGTGTATGTGACATCCAAATCCATATGCTTACTGTTGCATGCTGCGCCGTCCAGATGAATTGCTTTCAGGACCCCGCGGCCCTACCTGCTGGACAGGCGCCAACGATGCAGATTTTTTCCCACAAACATATATGTTCTGTGTCCAGGGCGTGCTTGGCTACCTGGGATAAGTGGTCTTGTCTCATTATCGCCAGCTGGTATTCCTGTATACGTGTGAACAGAGATTTCACGGTTTGGCAACAAAAGGCTGCATCACAACTGGTGCATAGGATTTTGTAGACCATTTCTTCCTAACAGTGCACTCCAAAGTAAATTCATTTGGATGTTTGTAAAGCTGGAAGTCCAGATTCATGAAGACGAGGGTCAGAAGGCCCAATTCGAAGCATGCATCAGTCGTCTTTTCGAGCAAGTAGGGGAGGCTGTTGAGACCGAGAGGGTCTTAAGTGAGTCTCGGAGAGAGATAGTTGGCCACATCATAGCATTCACACGAGGACATATAGACGAAGAAGGTGATGAGGTCACCGCAAGAGGAGATGAATCGGTTAGTAAGCTGCAGAGTCCCCTCGCTGCTCAGAAGTGCTTCCCGGGCTGTGATAATAGATACCTGGCTGACTAGATGGGAGGAATCAAGTGGCAGGCCGGCCTGTCGCACAAGATGACCGAAGCCGTGAACGCCAGGTTGTTCAAGTGAACGATGGACTTGACCACGAAGTCAATAGCTGCATGGGCGAACAAGCAGGAGCGGAATACAAGACAGACAAACTTGGTGAAATTACATGAGCAGTTAATTGGGGAAAATGTCAGTTTGAACGTATGTAAGCAGGAAATTGTGGGATTTCGGACGAAGCTCGATGAGTCAGAGGGCAAGCTACGACTCTGTGCCGCTTCACAAACTGAAGAGGCGGATGAGATTTTCCATCTTCCTCCACCGCCAGTAACCGAGGCAAGTTCGAAGGTCGCCAACCCCATTAGCTCCTTGGTGGATGCATGGACTCAGAGCTGGTCAGACGACATAGCAGGTAAGGCCTCACATTTCCATTCTGACGACTTCAGTTCAAAGACAGAACCGGACAGAAAGACTCCGGCATTCAGAATCCTTTGATGACTTCACCTCAACTCTGCTGTTGTTTGGAGAGCGGTCGGACGTCAAGAAAATAGGTGAATTTGATGATTTCGGGTCAATCGTGCAACCAGTAAATCTAGAAACAAACCTCTCCATGTGACAAGAACGGAGAACCAAGTTGTCCAGCCGACCTCTGAACCAGACATTACACCAGCGTCTATTCAAGAGTTAGGCGTTCGTCCATCTTCACAGGAGGCGGATGACGCTTTGTCAGCATCAGTCACAGCCACAGAGTTGCAGAACTCTGCTTGTTCTCCAAAGATCCAGTTGGAAAAGGGGGAGATCGAGCACCAAGTTTAGATCGAGATCCACAGAGGAATGGTCTCATCGGCTCTCGATTTAATCAGCGGACTGCAGGTCGCACACTCAGCCTACCAGACTGACATCCGGAGACTGAAAACGGGATGCGTTAAAGAGCAAACAGGAGGAAGAACTTAGTCGGACCATGCGGCAAATCTAACTAGACGCCGTGTCCAAAAGTCTCAAGGCAAAATGCAAAGACTACAATCTATCCGCTCAGCATGACAGAGCACAGCAAACGCTTACTGACAGGTGTAACGGACCAGTATCGATGTTAGGTATGTTTGAAATTCCAACGGATTTGAGCATTTATCGCACTTTTGGCTATGGTTTTGGGAATTTCATGGAAAATTCACGAACGAAATAAAGTTTCCTAACCTTCCTAAGGAATTTATTCTCCTTCAAGCTTGTATACTACATGTTACCCAAACCTAGAACTGACGATGACCAACAGCCCGGCCTTTAGTCCTGCCCATACATATGATGTATATAAGTTTACTTATTTGCAAGAATTTTTGACGTTTTCGGCGTTTCCAATATATTTGAAAAAATCGTTATTTCTGAAACACCTAATATTACTGATAATATTTCTTTTGTGTTTTAATTTCACTTAAATGCGTTTAGTAATAACTGGGGGTTTTCGTCTATTCATTTTGGACCGGTTTCCGAAACAATTCAACGAGTCCAAAAGGCATCATACATCTATCAGAACGTACATTTTGACCTTGGATTCTTTGATGTTTTAGATGCTTTTGCAACCGCCTAGCAACTAGTAAGTGGGTTATCCAATGATGACCCTAAAATTCTCAGTGGAGCATTCGCTTCGTACATTTTTTGAGACCATACGCATGCGCGAGACGGTGATCTCTGAGGGTTTTCAAGGTGAAGTCATCTGAACTCGTGACTCTCAGAGAAGCGAGCTCATTCACCTTTCCCGTGACCGCCGTGGCTTTCTTCCTTGTCGGGCTTTCAGCGCCTCTAGGTCTCCTTGTTAGTTAACATTTCATTCGTCTTCTTAATGTAATCCGTCTTGTTCATGGTGACGATGGCGTCACCTTTTTCAGAATGTGAGACAACAATACTGTGATCGGATTTCAGTGATAGCAACCCCTGCGCCTCCCCAGCTGGCAGGGTTTCCTGACGTCTTTTTGCCTGAAGATACCAGTGGCACAGTTGCGTATGTCCTCATGCATGCCTTCCGGAAGGATAAAAGTCAACATGATGGATTTAAAGCCGGCTAGGAAGTTGGTAGGCCGAGCATCTGCATGACAACAACTCGAATACTTGTCGGAAAATCTCTCTTCTTGAGGCATATACGTACTGAAAGGGAGAGTGAGGTAATAAGCATTCTGAGCTGGTATACTAAAAAAGATGAGGCCGTTTCAAGTTGGTGACGTTCACCCGTCATTCAGTGAAATGGATAATGAGACGTTTGAGTGTTTGGGAACATTGAGATTACATAAACACGACACCCATTCATGAGGTGCGTGAACGAAGTGTTATTGTAAGTGTCGGATAGGGGAGGGGAGGCGATGTGCACTACGGTTTAGCTCGACTGGAAGATATGGGGCGATAGCAGGTCAATGAGACTCCAGATGGTCAAACAGAAAATTAACGGAAGGTCTGCGAGACATGCACGTAGACCCTCATAGTGAGCGTCTAGGAAAACGCGCCGGTGCTGGAGCACCAAACGTGTGCGCAAAGACAATAACTGCCGCTTGTCCTGTTTCTGCCACTACCTCTGACGATGGACTCCTGTACGAGTCTGAAAGCTCAGGATAATAAACGAATTGTTCCGGTGCTCGATTCTTCTTCTTCTTCAAACAATGGAGAGGTGTCAAACTGTGTGGTCAATGTGCGCGCATGTACATCTAGTGTATGTGATGCTGTAAATGGTTTTGGTATTTCGCTCATTAGGGATAAAACCATTTACCAGAAACAGTCCTTCTTCTCCTCTATTCCTTTTATCTGACAACTGACTGGCGTCATCAGCTGGAGACTCTAGGGGTACAACTCAGTTTTTCTGGACTGGGTGACAGTACGCTTGAGGTGCAGTTTTATCCCTCCCGGATTATATTCCGCTGCATTATATGCGACCGTCTTTTAAAAAATGTGTTTATATAACTTGTCCAATGAGAGAAAGATTCATTTTAGAACGACTTCACTCTGTTTAGAAATAGCTCGAACTGACTATGACAGGCAGAAGGTCGTCTAAAACTACTATGGTGAGAATTCTGATTGGACGCATACTGCGATATCTAACTGCTCACGCTAGGCCCCCAGGCTGCCACTGGTATGACTGATATTTATATATACTCCACATTATGCTGGTTGACATTTGTATATGAATAACTAAGAAGAAAGCGAATACTGGACCCATGATTACCTCTTAAACGCTGTCGGTAAAAAAAAATGCCACAAGAGTGGGGCCGGCATTGATCCTGAAACGTTCTATTAAATTTAGTAAAGCTACTCATATGAAATAAGTAGCAACCATATGATAATTGTTATAGAAAGGGGCATGCAAACCTCTCACCAGGTGGAGTTGGCTCTTCCGTCGGTTACGCCGTAGTTGTGATGCCACAAAAGGGGGCGAGATCGTCCCAAGGCACGCGTTAACTGGACAGTGCAGAGTCCGCGCAAAACCATAACTACCGCCGCACATTGAGAAGGAAGACGTTCTGTGGCATGTCTAGGCGTAGGCTTCACGTCGCTGCAGTCACTGCGCCCAGATAGGGCACCAGATGGATGACAGGCACGGACAGCAAACAGCTGCAGGGAAGAAGGAAGTATGAGGTTGCTAATAAGGTAGAATCCGTCCTCACACCAAATCAGCACGTTCATTACTGGTAGTAAATCTGAGATGGTCGAACATACCATGGCTCGGAAGGCTGTCTAACGGAATAGCGCGATCCTCGAAGCCAGTAAAAGATGCAGGTGTGTGAGACAATTATATGGGGTGCTGATATTTTGCAATAGTGACATATTCTTCATTTGGTCTCTATGGCACTCTCAAACATGTAAGATTCCAACCGCCCCTGTGAACACCTGCTTCATTGTGCGGCGTAGACGGGTTGTTTAACAACGAAGTCGAACAACTGCATCAGAGGCTAAATGGCGTCTTCGTGAAAAAAAAAACAGCGGGAGCAATCTGCAGCTTGTGGATGTGAGCATACAAAGGCTGAGCGATGGTAACCGGAAGGGACGCGTTTATGCGAAAGGACATAGTGCTAAGATCATCCTAAATTATGGAAGTGTCCATCCCACAGCGCACAAAAAACCTAGCGTATGAACTCTCTTCTGTCAGACTTACAGCTATTGCAATAGGACTATTTACCAGGGAAAGAATTAGCTTATCTGTAGCAGTTGTTTCAGTCTTACGGATATCTGATCAGCTTTGTGAACAACTGTCTGAGGCGTCAGACACAGCCATAAGGTCCATCCCCAGTGGAGAAATCTCGCCGAAGAAACTTGATTCCCTGCGTTATATGTATGGAATCTTCGAAGTGTCACCAGGGAGATAGATCGTTCTGGTCTTCGTATCGTCTATAATTGAGCATCCTCATAGTGCGAAGGACCTCATTCGGCTCGGAATGCATGCTGTCTGCGTTCTGTGCATATGTATATAGTTCGGCAATTAGTGTTGGTTGTACATGAGCTATGCACTTTGCTGTTGTGTGCTCAAATACGGCCGATGTCGTCGGGTTTTCAAAATTGCGCTAAATAAATGAATATATATGCATTATAGTAGATGGTGGATCACAGAACAGGCTACGGAACATGCTCGTTCCGTTTAGCTCTGGGGCTCAAATTTGAACCCTTGTTGGCAGTCTCGTAGCAACTAGTAGTATAAGTAGATAAGATGGTACCACAAAAGGCAAACAAGGGGGGAAGCTATTGCGGGCTTATTAGCAGTTACAAGTCAGTCATGTCTAATATCAAGTTTGGATCACCTGAGATTCGCAGTCGGTATCTTTGGCTATTGAGTGCGTCATTGTATTATTGAGCTACGGGCCCGTAGTCCTGTCGGTTGGGATGGTGGATATTAACCATGGCGTCGATTGGTCAGGTTAAGGCCATGTTCGTCTCGTTGAGTCAGTTGTATTTCGACTGGAAGCATATGCGTCAAGTTGGATGTGCCGCATTGTCCTACTCAGTTCTTTCTCCCGTTTGTTCTTTTACGCCAGTCCTATTTTAAGTCTCCGGATGTCGGTCTAGGAAGCCGAATGAGCGGCCTGCTCTCCCCTGAGCTGATCGTGGACAGACGAGAGCAGTCCCCGGCCTAGGGATCTCAAACCTGACTTGGTGTCCAACCTCCCCTTTTTCCAACTGAACCTTTAGAGAACACGCGGAGAGTTGCAACTCTGCAGCTGTGACTGACGCTGACAAAGCATCATCCGCCTCCCGTGAAGATGGACGAACGCCTAACTCTTGCGCAAACGTTGGTGTAATGTGCGGTTCATAGGTCGACTGGACAACTTGGTCCTCCGATGACGTCGCTGAGTGGGGTTTGTTACGAGATTTACTAGCCGTATCAATTACCCGTAATCTTTGAACTCCCCAGTTTCGATGACTTCCGACCGGTCTTCAAGCAACAGCGAACTTTTAATGAAGCCATTTAATCAGTTTCAAGAGCGGGGGTCTTCTCACCCGGTTCTGTTTCAGAACTGAAGTCGTCAGTATGGAGAAAAGGGACATCTAGTCAGCTCTGAGTCCACGCATCAACCAAGGAACTACTGGTGTTGGCGGCCGTCCATCTTGCCTCGGATAATGACGATGGAGGAGGATGCAAAATCTCATCCGCCTCTTCGGTTTGTGAAGCTGCATAGAGTCGTTGCTTGTCCTCTGACTCATCGAGGTTCGTCTGCATTCCCACAATTTCTTGCCTACGTTAAGTTAAGTTGGCATTTGTCACCATTAGCTGCTCATGTAATTTCACAAAGTTTGTCTGCCTTGCATTCCGCTCCTTCTTGGTTTTCTGACTTCTTGGTCAGGTCCATCGTCCACTTTGGCCAGCCTGGTGTTAACGGCTTCAGATATTTTGTGTGACAGGCCAGCCTGCCACTTGATTCCTACCATCCAGTCAGCCAGGCGTCTTTTGTCACAGCCTGCGACGCACTTCTGAGCAGCGAGGGAACTCCACAGCTTACTAACCAAAGCCGTCCCCTGAAATCAATGCGCACAAACCACGATATATCGATTTGGATGTCAGATACAAATTTTCAAGGTCAGCTGTTGACGGACACAGTTGACACTGGCCATCCAACTGAATGCGATGGACGCCTACTTGCATAAACGTCAAGCAACCACAGAATCTCTTGTTAGGCACGATTTAGAATTGACTGTTGACTGTGTGCTGTCTATTTGTCTGACGACGAGCTGGGTAACCAGTTTCGAGAACGAGCGCAAGAAAAGTTCTATCTCAGAGGTGTTTTGGCAGATTTCAAATAATTCACTGTGATCCAACCGTGAAAACCTCGGTGCCTCGGTGGGTTTCGAACCAACGGCAGCAAGGGGAGGCTTTAGTACAACCAACATCTCAGAATTACGTGAGCCTAGTAGTCAGCTGGTGGATTCTAGATGTGTTACCTAGGAAATCCTGCTCGGGCAGTTAACTTACTATATCAGATTTGGTGGATTCCAGACGTTGCAGTAGGTTGGGCGGATAAACTTGACCCAAATGTGATTAAACTCGCGTCGTCCGGTGGGGCCTCATAGCTCAGATGGTTAGAGCGTTGGCTGAACTAAAGCCTCCCCTTGCTGTCGTGGGTTCGAACCACACCGAGGCACCGAGTTTTTCATAGTTGTGTCAAAGTGAAAAGTTGTGTCGTTACCATAGAACTGGTCTATCTCTAAGGCTGGTTTATGATGGTTAGTAGGCGTTGTCTTTGTCGAAACTTCCTTTGGCGTACATTCCTGGTCGCTTTTCGACTATCCCCGAGGGCTCTAAATTGATCCCCAAGACACATGATGGTCGTGTCCCGTAATCCGGTCTGTGAACGCACTTCGAACGCAAGTTGGAACGGTGTGTGGCTCGATAATTTGAGTGTTGGGCTAAATTAGGTTCGATAAAACGGGATCGAGGCTCAGGTAAGACAAAAACCTGGGCTTGGGTGAGGCCGACTGTTTACTGCCAATAAGTCAGAAAGGACCATCCCAATCTCCCTTTTCTTTGTCCTAGTATGATATTGTCCCAGTTTATTTTCGATGACATTATTTTCTGAGATACATTCTGTGGAAAACAGGCAAGAAATCTCTTCTTGCACTCACTTGTTAGTAAATGGCATCTTCAAACTTTGGATTTGAAACCAAGGTATCGCTCAGTTTGAAAAAGTCCCGATTGTGAAACCTTTGAAGACCTTGAGATGTTCATTCAGATAGCCCCGCTTCTGTTCGTTTTTTTTAACGCTCCTTGTGAAGTATGTCACTTCGACCGTCGTCGCCGTCAATGTCCTCATCAGGGGAGCGTATGGACAGTGTTTTAAGCTTAAGGTAGTTTAAATTCATGCAAGTTTTGCGTTGCATATACAGCACTCTCTCCTCCCTCACCTGGACTCATTGTCAAGACGGAGTCAAGAATGGCGAGGTGGTCGACACGGCTACCACATGCGTTAGAGGGCCGGAGGTCACTTTATGAAGGAGCCACTGCAGCCTGACCCTCCGTCCACCAGTCAGCCTCTCAAAACACACCTAGACTTACTGCGAGGTCTGAATTCAATCGGCAACCTTCCAAGCCCCCTGCCAGTCTCAGGCTCGGATCACACATGCAGCAGAGGAGTCACATAAAAATGGGAGGCGAGGAACACTCTTCCCACTTGCGTGAGAGGTGCCAATTACGTGCTTACGCTCTGTGATCATGGATGATGTTAATGTGCGCTGTAGGTGCTGGTGAGGAGAGAAGTGGTAGTATGGTATAGACGGCGGTGTTCTATCGCAGGTTTTCATGTAGATGCGTGGAGCCTAATAAGCCCATGCGATTACTGAATGTGCGAGGGCAGTAGGAGGAATGGAGGCAATGCTGTCTGTTGTACGTCGGTGTTCCAGGTACTGGTTCGCCAGTCTCTGTGCGTTGGATTCGCGAGTGGCCGACCAGGCAGATGCATGAGATGAGCGTGCGGTGACAGTGTGGTCAGGGGATGTCGAGTCGGTTGTCGTTGTGATGCTGCTAGTGGTGGGCGTGCTGGTCGATGGGAAGTTGATTGGGCTGGGGATGGGAGGGGTGATTGAGATGCAAGGTGTGTTTTAGATGTGTCGATACTGAGATGAATTCCCTTGTTGTGGATACGCATGTGGCCGAATAGGTCCATGCGATGTATAAATGCGCGTGGGCAGTGTGAACAATGAAAGCGGATGCAGAGAATGTATGTGCGGGCTCTTGACATTCATGCGTCGGTCGCAGTGTGTGATGGACTCGCAAGTGACCGACCAGGCCGATGTGTGGGGTGAATGTGCGGTAGCAATAGGGACAGGTCAAGACCGAGTCCACATCGCTGGAGATGGTAATGTTGATGGTGGTGTTTGGTGTTTGGTGGGCAGTCGAGAAAGTTCCGTTCGGTGATGGGAGTGGGACCTGTGGTGATGGCCGTCATCGATGCAGAGGTTTTGACAAGTATGATTGAGGTGTCAGTTACCGACGCGCGCGGGTACGGAGATGTTGGATATTGGCGGTGAGGTCGGTCATTGTAGTGGCCTACGCCGTTGGGGAGTTGGAGCAGTGGTTGTCGAAGAGGCAGGAGTTAAGTTTGTCGGGTTGTTGGTGCATTAGGTCCGGAGATGTCCGTCGAGACCGATCCGCGCGTGGAATGTTAGTTGACAACGTGGGCATGTTGAGAGGGGTTGGGGATTGGCGTTGCGGGTTAGGGGCGCCTGAGACTTGCAAGCTTCTCTTTTGACTTTGGCAGTGACTATCCGCCTGGCTACATAGATGGCTGCTCCAGCCTTCCCAGCGATGTGTTCCCAATTCTTCGGGTTGATCTGTAGTCGCTCCAAGGAATTCTTCAAGGGGTCCTTGCAGTGACGATTTTATTTTCATTGTCGGCGAGTATCTTCCTAGAAATGCAGTTTTCGTAGGCGCTCTTTGTCGATCCTCGGAAGGTGGCCGATCCAGCGGGGTTGGACTTGTCTCTGCATGGCGTGGATGTTGAGGATACCCCTCCGTTCCAAAAGTTCTGTGTCCGAGATTCTCTCGTACGATCTCAGCTTTAGTATCGGGCGGGGACAAATAAGGCGGATGTAACTGAGTTTCAGGGCTTGCTTCTCGTAGACTGTCTGGGTCTCCGCGACATACAGAAAAGTCCTCAAGATGATCGCTTTGCACATCCCCAGTTTATTTGGAAGCCGTGGCGGTTGACCACAGACCCATGTCAAGTTGGCTGATACACGGGCGGTGCGTTCTCCGATCGATGTTGACGGCGGGATTGAACACGACTGATTCCATCTTAACCTGGAACTCCAGCTGGTGACAGTTGGACGGTAAAAAACGACCGGTGGCTTGCGCGCGCAGCCACCTCTGGTCGTCTTAACATTGTCTTTCTAGCGGAGCAAGGTGATTGCGGGAAGAGAGCTTGAGTTAGGTTCTGCCCCAGTTTGCTTCTCTATAAGCTAATTCACGTGCTGGTTACCGCCGTCGCCTTCTACCGTCTAAATGTCGCTAGCTGGCTGCCGGTGTTCTTGACTTTGTCATGATACCGGGCGAAGATGGGGGAGGGGGGAGAGTGTGGTAGGTGCTGCGCAAGTCCGTTGTCACCATAAACGAATTAACGCACAAGTCGACCTCCATGATATCACCCTGTTCTGGAGCATGCGGTGTGCATTGTCGTCAACGACGGTCGAAATCTCCTAAACGGCATATTATGATTACGTTGGGTTGGTGATGGGGGCGGGAGTTGCCGCGCGCACGGTAGGTTTTGCCACGTGCATGTTGCCGCCGTCGCTTGCTACCGTCGAACTGTCGTCGGCTGGAGTTTCAAGATGAACTACACTCAGCCGTGTTCCATCCTGTACTTAGTATTTATTGACTAAAGCACCGCTCCGGTAGTAACCGACCTGACATGGGTCTGTGGTCAACCTGTTAGAGCATCTGACCTATGCGCTTGATGACGAACTGATCTGACCTCAAATCGCAAGTGTTCCTGTTCTGATTTGGGGCATGGTTGTCCGATAAATTTAAACAAACCCTGGTCTTAACTTCGTAAGTAGAGGTCTTTGATTAGCAAATTTAGCCCTGCGGATAATGACGATATTTCTCTAACATATTTGGCAGGGACAGGTGCAAATTCATTTGGCGATCGGTAAATTATGACCAATCTGCTGCAGGCTGCTATGAAACCCCTCATGATGTTGAAGCACCTGCCATTCCCAGGAACGACAAATATAAATGTATTGCGAACGCGAAGGACACGATTACTAATCTCTCCATCATACGATCGGTCATTCCCGACAGTTTTGAGATGCCTAAATCATGTGGGTTGGAGACCAAGATTGATCGCGCCGATGTCGGCAGGCGTTCTAAGAACATCTCTTGAAAGAACCTACCGTCAGTGGCCATGTTCCCAACAAGACAACGCGTACGATGCAGGAGTTCTGACGGCTTGCGATCACATAAAGCCTCTTCTCTTACAAGTGCGTGATAATTATGGCGATCTGAAACTGAGGTCAGGCGAAGAAGTCCAACCTGTAGCTTCTTATAGGGAGCATCAGCACTTTGGAAAGAATGGTAGGAGGAAGAGCTTCGACCAACTTATAATACATGTCGGTTCCTCGTGTTACTTTTGCCGAGTGGAACGTTGCCTCAATGCAAAAGACATAAAATTCTGACGCATGTTTCCAGAAGTCTTGGAGGGGGGGGGGGCGGAGGGGGAAACAGCTCCA